AGAGAGAGAGAGAGAGAGAGAGAGAGAGAGAGTGAAACATGGAGGGAGAGGGAGAGAGAGAGAGCTCACTGAGGTTATGTGAACCTTCCAATGCTGATCAACATCAAGAACAATTAGTTCCTGAATTATGTCTTTACAACTGGTAGTGACACTTAGAATACTGGTGTTTCATGGAGGATTCCATCACATGATCACATCACTTATACCTCCACTCCCACCTAAAAGAACAGAGGCACCAGATTAATAGTCTCATGGGGACCCCGAAGGTGACTGTCACAGTGGAGGTAGACTGCCATCAGCTGTATGTGTTTGTTGTCTTGTGATCCACCCTGACGGAGGGAAAGAGAGCTGAGGATGAGGCAGTGACAGTGTCTCCAGCACCCGCCAAGCAGACAGGGGAGGAGGGACCAGGATCAAAGGGTGTTCTCGGGGACCCCAGCCTGCACCCCCCACACACACACACATACACACACACAAGGCAGGTTAGAGAGGGAACCGACAATGGGGGAATCAGAAACAAAGATTTGACAACAGTTACTGGAGCTCCTATTTCCTTCTAACAAGCAGGACCCGTGGCTCCATGGTGGGTGACTCCCAGGGACAGCAGGCTCCTCTGTGGCAGGGGGGCTGTGCCCTCAGGAAGCCCCGGGGTGCCCTGCTGGGCCTGCTCTCCCCCCACATCCTGGATGCGCTGAGATTTGTCTGCATGTGGCCTGGGGAAAGTGAAAGCAGACATGGTGACAGTGACTATCCAGGATATATCCTGACTTTTCAGCTCCTGGGAGCAACTTCTTGCCACCTTCCTGCACCCCCAGCTGTCGTGTCCCCCCACACATCCTGGCCCGGCCCTTTCCCACTACCTGGACACTGCAGAGGGTCACGCAGGAGCTGGAATCCCAGGGAGCTGCCAGTCCTGACAGAGCAGGACCAGGAAGTTAACTCAGACTGGAAGAAACTCAGAAAAGAAACTTCCAGGGGTGGAGCCTGTGGGGTGGGGCGGACATGAGTGATTGCCCCAGTCCTTTGTACTCAGCTAGTCCTGAAAGGGGTCAGAGGGTCAGGAAGTATCCTTCTTTACAGCGATGAGAAAGGGACAGATAGATCACCAGGAAGCAGCATTGTGACCCCAGCAGGATGTTGGGGTCAGGAAGCCTGTGCTGCCTGAGTGGAACTTGAGACTTTTCTGCATTTTTCACCAACCCTCTCGTGATCCATCAGCCCTCTGCAGGAGTTCTATTTTGCTATTTTTAGATTGCTTGCTTTTTACTAACCGCTCTGAAGGGGCCATAAGAAAGCGGGGGAGTAGAACCTACTGGGGTCACAGGAATGGATTCAGCCTGTCTCTGTCCTCTGTTCCTGTTGCTGTGCCTCATGTCTCCCCATGTCTCTCTGCAGGATTCAGATACTTCCCAGGACACTCAGCGATAGTCAGCAAGCAGCCAGGAGCCACTGATGACCCAGCTGGGACCCCAGGGCCATCACTGTGCTCTGAGTCCAGTGCAGAAAGGGCTGTGAGCTTGGGGGCAAGAACTGTGACTCAGCTCCTGCCTCTCCTGTTCACATAGGAGCCGAAGGACTGTCTCTGCCCAATTCTGGGATGTTATTTAGGGGGAAACCAGATGACCACCTCAAAGTAAGAGCTTGTCACATGCATAGCCACAGGTGTAAGATGCACTTCCAATAAATACATGTATGACAGATGTTTACACAGAAATGATATCTGCAGTGGCCGAGGGGCCAGTCAGGTGCTTAGCTACCAGCAGGAGTCAGGCGTGGACCCTGCCAGCTGCCTGGGACCAACACTGGGCCCGTCGCCTGGCTGGTCAGGTGCTGACTTGAACCTTGTGGAAAGCTGTGCTCTGGGCAGCACAGAGGGGCCTGGCAGTTCTTTGTCCCAGCCACCGTCCTGCTGGGAGGCAGGTCAGGCTGGAGGCAGAATTGTGAAACAGGATCCTCTCTTCCCACCCACACAGGAGCCTCCTCAGCACTGCCCCCTCCTGGGAGCTACAGAGCCTCTGCCATGGTGCCAGCCAGTGCCTCCTGGTGCCCTGCCATGGGCTGTAGGCAGACCCCGCACAGGGCACGCCTGAGGCAGCAGCACGCAGACAGTGGACACAGCCGCCCAGTCCCTGAGCCGGTGAGGGCTCCTTGTACAATAGATGCCCACGCCCTTCATCTCTGTGGCTGTGACACTGGACCCAGGCACAGCTCATCCCAAATGTGTCCTGTCAAAGGATCAGGAAAAGGAAGCAAGTGAAAGCCAAAAAATATATAAATGAACAATCACGAGCAACAAAAGCACCACATCACGACGGGCTCTGTGCCATGCCAGCTGCCCTCCTCACACCTGTGTCCTGTGGCATGCAGGAGGCGCTGGTCCATGCAGACAGCTGTGGGTATTACGTGGTGACAGGGGCTGTGATGAGCCTGCAGATATGTTCCCCCCAGGTGGGCACAGGAAGAGACCAGTAGGAGCTGATCCCCTCCCCCACCACAGTAGGAAATGCATCCTCTCTAATCAGTGAGGCTGGGCTTCCCCCTGTGAGCCTGGGATGCAGGAAACTGGACACCTGTCACGCCCAGCATGGCAAGGGCAAACGGGTTTCTCTTGAGGGGCGGCACAGATTGAATATGGAGACAGAGACAGAAGTAGGATTAAGAGCGAGACCAAGGGACTCAGTCAGAGAAAACTGAGCCCCGAATCGGGTCAGCTCATGGCTTTTAATTGAGAATTTTCAAAGAAGTAAAACTGCTGTCAATCAAATTAGCATCCGTTTGAGGTCTGTGCCTCAAAGCCTTTGCCATTAACATATCCATTATGTTCCAGCATATGCTATGCCTTCGCATATCCGCTGCATAGCACCAGGACACCTTGTTACTGTGTCCTCCCAGAGGAGATTAACTGTTAGCATTCCAACAGGTCCCAGTCCCACCTTGAGACACTCCCCAGAGGGAGCCTTATTGGCCTCCGGTCATACCGGGGCACTCCCTCAGAGAGATTGCAGCCTCCGGTCAGACCAGGCTTTTCTTTCTTAACTAATGGGATTAGAGGCTAAATGCAGGGGGGCATGTTATTAGAAATAGGCTGTCAGGCAACAGACACCCACAGCCAGTGGGTCATGAGAGTCTCCTTAATAAAGATGTAAGAGTTTGTAGGCGTATATTTAAGATAGAAAAACACTGGACGCAAATCGCATGGTAATGATAGTAACGTCAAATAAGTTAGGGACCACTGGATTGTTTTGATTTTTGTCCTTCAATTCTAAAATTTCCATTTGATCTTCTTACATCTTCTATTTCTTTGCTAGACTTCATATGTTTTCAGTTATTTCAAGGTTATTTGCAATTGTTGGAGCATTTAAAAACAATATCTGCTGTAATCTAGTCATAAAATTCTAACATCTGTGTCATCTAAGTACGTTTTGGCATCTGTGACCCCTTTTCCCACGTGAGATATCACCATTTTCCCGATTCTATCCATCTGTTTCTCCCACTAAACTGAAATATACCATCTACTTATTTATTAAATTCTTATACAGTAGGAACTGATTCTAAACTCTTTTTTTTCTACTGAGCTCACCATAGAAATCATACACCTTTGTTAATTCTATTTCTTGTTCATTTATAAGCTTGTTTCTATTGTGAATGGAACAGTCTTCTTGTTTACTTTTTTCAGGTCTTACTGCTCAGAAGGAAGAAATGTACTGATATAATGTAGGGACCCAGGCCCAGGCCCTAGGCTAGGTCCCCACCCCCACCCGCCCAGAGGAATTAAAAAAACTCCTGCTTCAGCAAAAGTTAACAAAGTATCTTGTCAAGAGACTAGGAAAAGATAAGCTAGGTATGCTTTATAGCTTACTTATTAGGGAAAAGATAAGTTGGGTAGCTTGTTAGGAAAAAATAAACAAGTCATGTTTTATAGCCCGTCAAGAAGATAAGCAAGTTATATATTAGCTCGTTACAAATAATAACCTAACTGTTTTATAGTTTGTTAAAATAAGATAAACTAACCATTTTTTTCCTTTTTACACACTAACTGCTTTTTTTTGCTTCTGTATCCAGCTTCAGCTATAAAGTCCTTACCCACCAGGACTTAGGTGCTCATCTCCCCCTTTGAGAGAGACAGTCTCAGGTCTGGTCATGAACTCTTTGGAATGGAATTCTTTTATACAAGTTTTGTTTAGGAGCCGTAAACCTAACAATAATGCATCCAGCAAACTTATCAATTTCTACAATTAATTCTGCTTTCTTTACTCATTAGAGTCCGTTGAGTTTTTCCTAGTCATCAGCAAATAAATAATTTTATTTTTTTGTTGTTCTTAATGTGAATACCAAGCATTTCATTTTCTTTTTGTAGTACATTTGCTAAGAATTCCCCATGTGAAGTTGAATAAATCAATGTTAGCAGGCATCCTCTTTAGTTCTTGGTTTTCACTAATATGGTATTAAGTGTTTGTCCTTCTGGGTATTTGCTATTAATATTTGCTATCTACATTGTGTTTAAATAGTTATATTTATTCCTGAAATCAGGGCGCCACTATGGTGGGTTCTTAGTGACGGTCCCCTTCCTGGTTATGTCCTCACATGGCCTTTCCCTGGTGTGTGCATGAAGCGGGGGGAGGGGGGGAAGCTCTATTTTACTTTTATTTTAAAATTTGAATGGCTGCTAAATTTTTTATGTATTGATATAATCATATGGTGCTTCTGTTTTTCCTTTGACAAGCTTTCGGGAGGAAAGAGTTGAATTGAGGTGGAGCTATAAATTTGGGAGTCAGTGATATATGGACAATGGTATTTAAAGCCACGAGACTGGGTGAGATCACCCAGGAGGGACTGCGGTAGAGAAGAGTAGAATTCTATTGCATGTTCCTTGTGCTGCAGTTGCTACTAGTTCAGAAGCACACGTCCAGAATTTAGCAGTGGCGTGACTGGACTGAGCCGGGAGGAACTGGAAGCAGGAAGAAGTGACCGTGATACCTGGAAAGACGATGTATCAGGAGAGCAGCAGTGAACTTGGAGAGAAAGCGATGGTGTAAGAGATGATTACGAGGTGGAAACAACTGCTTAGATGTGGGGATGAGAGCGGTAGCACAGCCAAGGACGATAGCAGAGTTTGTAACTGGAGCGAGCAGTTCCCTTCAGGAAGAGGGGACGCTGAAACAAGCTGACATGGAGAGCAGGTGGGTGTCAGGTCATGTGTTCACAGTGACTTCCTAGAGTGAGAAGTAAGTGTGGGGAGCCATGGTTACAGCTAATTCAGAGCCTTACAGACTGGCTCAGTTAATGCTTAACCTGTTTTTGCCCCTAAGGCATTGTCTCTGCCTGCACCTGGAGGGTGCTTACAAGTTGCTGAGGTATGTGGTGAGAACGGCCAGTTCCCGGACAGAGGATTGATGGCTATCGGGGTAATTGATAGATTCTGTCATGGGATAATCACTTTTGGGAGTTTCAGTGATTTTGTAGTTTCTATGTAAAAGTTAAAGATTTACTTTCGCTGAGGTAATGCATATTTTTCATTGTTAAACTGCACGT